TTCCTAGGAATTCTTAAAGTTATCTCACAAGGGCGAGGTGAGTGATGGTTTCCTCTTCTCCTCAAGATGAGACGCATAAAAAAACTAAAATATAACCTCAAGGAACCAGTAATACGTGTTACTTACCACCGTAGCCATGTTTCTTTTGGTTGGCCTGTGGTACTCTTCAGAGCACTGCAAAAGTGAATTAACGCTAGCTTTGCTTCATCTTTGTTGCTAGGAAATCGCTATCTTTGTCAGTGACATGTGTGCACGAAAAGAGCTTTATCGACCGTAAAATTGCTATAAGCGATATGAAACGGGCAGTTTTCTCTTCACATTGAATTGGTTTTCACGGTAACACGCTTTACATGACTTACTAAGGACCCATTAAAGAATGATTCGCCTTCGAAGGTTCGGTTTTCCAATTCAGCAGCACCGAAAACTGCGTGTTCAAGCAAAGTAAAAGAAGTTTAGGAAAATTTACGTTTAAATTCTTGGAGTCGTCTTTTTTAATAGATTACCAAAAACAATTCATATCGCTTATAATTTTTACGGCTCAGGCGCTATTATATTAAGTAGCATAATAGTGAAACCTCTCTACAATGATAACCAATAGTAACTGGATCGAGTGGAGTACAATTCAGGGAGTTATCGGGTGAGGAATTCCAAAATCGGACTAGCGCAAAGCGCTTGCCGATTTGAATACTTCCTGAATTGTACGGCACGATTATAAATAAATAAATAAATAAATAAATAAATAAATANCCTAAGAATTAAATACGCTATATAATACAATTAGGCTGCAAATAAAAAGTAAAAACTACAAATCAAATGCACGCTTAAAAAGATAAGTCTTAAGATTAGCCTTAAAAACTGCCTCTGATACGATAATTAATCGTATTTACAGCAAATTTCGAATTTGAAAAATTCCCTGGAGAACTTCTTTTGGGCGAAAACTTCAGTAGCACTTTCCATAACTTTAAAAAACTGAAGGAAGCCATCAAAGCGTGCGTAATTGACGTGCAAATCACGTGTCCAAATTGGATACCTGTAATTGACACCCACGTGATCTCGCGCCGATTACGTGACAAAATAGGCGCGCGGAGAATCAATCACGATCGAGACTTTTGTTATAGATACGATTAAGGTTACACAATACCTTGAGAGTGCTACTTTTGTCGAATTTTTCTTTTTAAGCAAAGCAAAAAGGTCGCTATTAAATCTAACAGTTCCCCCAAAAAATGAAAGTAAAATCTTAAAACGCACACGGGTTATTTCGAAAAAAAGGATTGTTAATAAAAGTTAATAAAACAGTTAGGTGTCATAATCCTTATAGCGCGTCAAATGTTTTGCGCGAAACTGCTTCCTCCGGTAGCTCATATTACAAGGGCCTCGTTAGCATTTTGCTGTTTACACGCCATTCCGGAGTTGTGTTCTCGAATTTATTCGCTCTTCCATGCTGCCGAACACTCCTTATTGAGGTCATGAAACGTGCTAAAAGAAGAAATAGAAAAGTCCTTAGACAGCGGAAAAATCGAAGCCAGGACGAAGTCAATAGCGGAATTTCTTGAAGACACGAAGAAAACTTTGACCGACAGCGGCAAGGGTTCGTGAATACTCGTACTTACATTCTTAACCCACTTATTTCTCTTGGTTTTCCCCATTCCTCACGTGAGGTGAAGACTGCTCCAAAGACGCCCGCTGAAGTTCAACAAGGAGAACGTGACTGTTATACTATTATTGCCCTGGAATTCCCGCGAAAATCATTTTGCTCGCTGTGAACGTTTGGGGTGCCCCGTTTGGCTAGCGGCATATTCTGTTGAAATACATCCGACTAAAGGCGTGACATGTTTACAACTCTTCAAACGGGATAGCTCGCAATAGCTTTTTGCGAGAATACCATCTCTTTAAATGAAGTAATGGGGTATGTAGAATTGGCAGATTTTCATGAAATTTGGCCAGAACTTTCCTTAAGCATTGAGGAGTAGAAGGGTGTCGGGGATTTTTTATATCATGGATATTTCTGTTGCGACCTTAGCTTGATTATTCTGGATATCACAAAACCTCATCCAATAATTGTTAAAAAAAACTGGTATAAAGCGAGAATTCAGTTCATTTTGGAAACCGCCTACTTGATGAAAAGTTTCATTTGTTAACTTTTGATGCTTTTAAGAAAAAATAATCTGTCAAAACTACTTTCCTCCAGTACCAAAGCGATGTGAGTGCAGTCTCCAAAATGAAATCAATTTGTGCTTGCACTCAGGAAGAGACAAACATTGCAGAAGATTCAAACAACCTGTTGGCTTCTACGGAGTTTTCCAAGTTAGCCTATAATCAGTATTTATCAAGCAAATTGCTTCCATTCCGTAATTTGGGATATTTTATAGCCACGAAGTATATAGCACCACCATGTATGGTGCTGTACACCACCTATCATTTTTACTGTAGATGGTTAGAGGAAGGTATGCCTATCCATTGATTTTCTCATCAGTGAACATTACATGTTATCATTGTAAAAAAAGACGTGAGTGAATTCCTGAGCTCTAACATCTTCTGCCATCTAATGGAATTGTTACAAATATTTGTCTTTATTTTTTCAACGTGTTATAGCAATTAGGGCATCTTAAACTTTACACTTTTCTTTCTTTTCTTAGTAGTGTGTTGGCGATGCTGAGATTATGTTCTT